GAAAGGACATATAATTGACTAAGCATGGTGGATAAGTGACTGAGGGTTGTACTATGAAGGTATGGGGAGGGGTTGCTTGTGTCATACTCTAGATAAAGTCAACACTCCATCCATAAATCTTACTTACTAGATTTTATTCTTAGGCAAGGATTTTCCCCCAAATATAGTTAAAATATGGATATTTAGGGTTTATTATGTTAAAATACGAGTTTGGGTGAAAATCCCGCGTTAAAATCATGAAAAACGAGCTTAAAACGAAGTTTGGGTCAAAAACCGGCAATCTGGACCGAACCTGTGAGGTTCGGCTCTAAGGGAGTGAGAACCGAGAGTAGAGAAGGAAGGAACCGAGAGTAGAGAAGAGGACCGAAGGTGCGAGGGGGGAGGGACCGAAGGTCCGAGGTTCGGTTCGGTTGCTGAGCTTCGGTCCGAGAGGCTTCGCTTCTGACACCTTCGCTTCTGACAAGTTCGGTTCCTAAGACGTTCGGCTCCTTAAGAGGGTTCGACTCCTTAAGAGGGTTCGGCTCCTTAAGGCTGTTTTTCGCGTAAACTTCCGTTTTCGAGCGGTTTTCTTCTAAATTAAGGGTCGGGATGCCCCGGGTGATTATAAGAAGTTGATAGAGATTTTGAGAGAGATTTGGGAGAGATTTCACATACTTGGAGAGATTTCTCATTCAGAGAGAGATTTGGGAGAGATTTCACATACTTAGAGAGATTTCTTATTCAGAGAGAGATTTGGGAGAGATTTCACATACTTGGAGAGATTTCTTATTCAGAGAGAGATTTGGGAGAGATTTCACATACTTGGAGAGATTTCTCATTCAGAGAGATATTTGGGAGAGATTTCACACACTTGGAGAGATTTCTCATACAGAGAGAGATTTGGGAGAGATTTCACACACTTGGGGAGATTTCTCATACAGAGAGAGATTTGGGAGAGATTTCACATAATTGGAGAGATTTCGGAGAGATTTCACATACTTGGAGAGATTTGGGAGAGATTTGAGAGAGATCTCGTTTGCGACCTTTTTGAGTGTTTGGCTTCGTAACGCAAGGTTTGTACATCCCGTTAAGTCTCGTTATGATTGTTATATGCCCCCGAGGGTTAAGGAATAATGTTTTATCGAATAGTTTCATCACTTGCCCTGATTAGGGTTTAGAATTTCCGAACACGTGAAAACTCTAAGTGATACTTTGTATTAAGATTGCGAGTAGTACAATAAGAATCATAATGGAAACCCTAATATACAAGGGTTAGATGAGTTGACCGTTTTGACTTGTTGACTTTGGTTGACTTTGACTTGACCAAAAATTGGCGGTTGTCACAGATAAGTCTCTAAAATCTCAATTTTAAACTTATATAATTTTAATCGCAAAATTTACTGTTAGCTAGTTTTAAACGATAAAACTCTTTTTATTTTTTAAAAACTTTTTACCATCTTATGTTAAAAGATAGTTTTCATTAAAACCAAATTCCCTGTGATCATTTTTATGTTAAAAATATTATCTTGTTTTTTTAAAATCTAATTTTACAAACAGACATAATATATATACATAAAACAAGCATCACAAACATTTAAAAAATATGCGCATAAACCAACCATTTCTAGTGACATTTTGTGAGCCATCACAAAAATGTCAAGTTCATTCTTAAGGGACATAAATGGACCAAAACTTATTGTAATGTCTTCATGCTCCCACTTGCTTCAACACCTTGTAGCAAGTTCATAAAAATAATTTTATAAAGTTTATAAAACTTTAATAAAATCAAGTTTATGAACTTTTTATCTTCAAAATGGCCACCATCTTCATTCTTGTAACATTTTTATAAAAAATAAACTATTTCTAAAACTAATCTTTTACTTATAAAAATAAACAAAGTGAAAGTTATTTATTTAATTATTACATACCATATGAATAAATATATATTACAACCATTTTAACATATCAACACAAACAAATCATAAGAGGTCCAAGGCTAGTTTATGTACATCACACACACACACATAGATATATATATATATATATATATATATATATATATATATATATATATACACACTAAAAAATATATAAAACAACACTTTGTTTTAAGACAACTTTGGTGACAAAATAAGCATGTAAACTTTTGTCACTAAAAAATAACAATTATAAAATTGTCATAGAAAATGTGTATGGAGTTTCTTATAGAAATAACACCATCCATGTTCTTCAAAAACAAAGATTATACAAAATAATCTAATAATTTAACTAGGCGTGCAAAAATGGCTTTGATACCAATTATTGAGTTTTATTCAAAAATAGTCTAATTATATAGTCAAAACTACAAGATTAGAAATGGAAGCATTTTAAGATTTGGATAAACTTAAAACCATTTTAATCCACAAATGATCATTTTACAATCATGAAAAGATTAAATCAACCATAGAAAGTAAAAGATTACAACCTTTGAAGTATTTTATTCTCTTGGGAGATGGAAATTGATGAAGTGATGCATGAAACTCCAAAGTAGAAGCTCTCTAGAGGTATCCACCAAGAAAGAATAAACTATGAAAACATGCTAGTCTTCAATTGTATTAAGTTTTTTTTAATCCTTAAAAGTTTATACCAAATAAACCTTAAAAGGAGAAACAACTTAAACACCCACATCTACACTACACCATGCAAGAGATAGATAAGAGAAAGATATCCAAGGAGTTCTCGATTTTGGGAGGAGAAAAAACCATGCAAGAGATAAATAAGAGAAAGATATCCAAGGAGTTCTCGATTTTGGGAGGAGAAAAAAAGAGAAGAAGTGATCAAAAATAGCAAGTTTTTGGTTTATACACTTCTTTATATACTTCCACTAATGTACCAAGTCAAAGCTAGTCATTAAATGAAAGTATGGAACCTTATGACAAGCATGGTATAAAGAAAAAGAAAGATAACACTCAAACTCCAACTCTTTATGGATTTCACAACTTTGGCAAGAAATTCAAGAAGAATGGAGTGTCTTCACTTAATCTCATAACTAGGTAGTTACATGCCAATTATAGGATAAATCAAGGTGTTCATTTGATTTGTACATAATATATATATATATATATATATATATATATATATATATATATATATATACACACACACACACACCATATGAAAATACTTAGTTATTGTTCTCTTTTGTTATTATTTCCTAGAAATAATAATTCTAAATTACTTGTTAAAATATTATTTTCATAAAATAATGATTCTCCAATTAAATACAGGTTTGATAATATCTATTAATAGTCACCTTACTCTAATAAATAGTCAATCAATAGTAACTTGATATAAGGTGTGATTCTATATGATCATATGTCATTAACAAATATCATTCTATAATGACTCTTCGGCATAAAGATCTTTCATATTTGCCCTGTTGAAGAAGTATTGAATGTGTCTGGTAGATTTGAAAGATCAGACTTTGATTTCAATTGAATCGGTTGATTTGTTTTGATGACCAGACCACACTCACTCCTTGACATCATTGGTGTCGATAATCTATAAACCTCAATCTTTCTCTTACAAGGAGTTCAATAATAGTATGATCAAACGGGTACCTATCAGGTGGCTAAACCCCGAGACCACTTGGAGAGTTGGGAATGTCCCAATTTTCATCATCGGGAGGAGGATTGAAAGAGAATCGAGGGTCGTAACTTTCATTAGTGTGGAGAACGATGTCATCCAACCAGTTTATGTCATCAGGGATTACTGGTTGTCATTCCTCTTATTATTTGAATAGGGAGAAGATAGGTTTCTTATCATCTTCATCATCTTCATCTTCAACAATGATCTTGTCAGGAATTGACATGTACTACTTAGTCAACTTGTGGCTCTTGAGCTCCTCCGTCTTATAAAGGATTGACATGTAGTTTTATTGGAAGCAATTAAATGTGAGTTTTACTTTTATTAGAAACTTCAATATTCTTCAAGTTTTCACAAATAAGAATGTCAAGTGGATAGGAACATAAAACACACTTGCACCAACATTTGAATGAGACACAAAGTTTTAAGAGAGAAAAGAAATTGTTCTAAAACTTTTGAGATTTTAATAAGGGTCGGTGTTTAATGTTCAAAAAGAGTAATATTGTTCTTAATCTTTTGTGTATCACTTAAATGTTTGTGGAAGTATTTGATATTCCTATCCACTTGACATTCTCGTTTGTTGAAAACATGAAAAAGATTGAAATTCCAAGTGAACGTAATGTTCGAATGATAATAATTTCTATTTATTATAATTACGGTGGCTGTTAAGTCATATTTTAATGTTTAGTTATTTTTATCAAGATAAAAAATAGATTTACAAAATAAAATTTGATAAAATGAATATTTTCAAATTAATAGATTTTTTTAATAAAATTAAAGTGAAAAATTAAAACGGTAACAAATTATGAGGTAACAAAATTTTATTTTTACTTAGTCACTTTGTTTTTTAAATGTATATTTTACCACAGAATTTAATTTGGATATTCAAAAAACATATTTATAACTTGCAATAACCGATCGTAATAAATTTTTTTGAGTATAAAAAATAAATTAACCCTTAGAAAATGCCTAACTATGAAAAGAAAAATTGAAAGTTTATTACGACAAGTTACTTTCTTTTTTTAACAACAAAAAATTTTATATTATCAAGAGATCTAAAAGGTTGTTAGAAAGATTCCAAAAACTGTAAACTTTTAAAGTTGGCCGACACATGTATATGTCATGTGTTAGTCATAGATAAATTGTTAGAAAAAGGTATCAATCATAGAACGAATTCTTAACTCAAAGGATAGAAATATATGAATGTACCCGTCATTAATGTAATTCTTATTTTAATATATTTTTAAGCACGATTGATAAAATCTAAGACCAAACCACTAAAAAATTGTCATTCAAGATTATCAATTGAAAGATATAACATCACTATAATTGATGATATTTCGATTCATTTAATACAATTAATTAATACAATATAAATTATATATTTTTAAACGTAATCTAGATATTTTATATGCATCTTGTTGAGGAAAACGTTGACTCTTTTTCTCAAACTATGATACAAGAAAAGGCATATACACAGTTAACCAAGATGACATCTGTTCATCACTTCTTCACTTCAAGAACTCTCAACCAACAAATTCCTGAATCATTTAAATCTCTCTCTCTCTCTCTCTCTCACACACACACACACACACACACAAGAGTTCTTGAGGTTTGTGCGAAAATGGCAGGAGGGTCTTTCGCACCAGGAGGAGTGGCGAAGGAGAGAGCAGATGAATATAAAGGGAAAGTCACGACTTATGTCATCGTTGCTTGCATTGTTGCTGCTGTTGGAGGCTCGATTTTTGGCTACGATATTGGAATTTCAGGTAACATAATCTTCTTTAATTCGTCCCAAAATTCCAACTACGAATTCAATCTCAAATATGAATCGAAAACAAAAAAGGAGCTTGATGAATACTTGTAGGTTGTAGCTTTCTGTTTTGCTTAGTTTTGGTCCACAATTTGAGGCTCAATTTGTCCATTCACTCATAAATGTGTTTGGTATGAATAAACCATTGAAAAAAAATGAAGATTTACAAAAAATCCCAGTATTATTTATGTGAATTTTAATGATATAGTTATTTTTAATTTTCTATTATTTATTTTAATTTTTTTTATAAAGATAATACCAAAATAATTATATCACCCATTCCAAAAAAAATCTGCAATGGATCGATTGCCAATTGCTATATTGTTTTCTAAAATGGTCATAGCCACAAATAGCCTTTAAAGAAAATTTGGTAGAAAAATCAGATATTTCTGAATATATTATTTTATTCCGTAATATGTGAATGTAATTTGCAACGTTTATTGCAATATAAGACTGTATTTCGTAATATATTATTTTGAATAGTTAAAATAGTTAAAAAAAAAATCTTGGTTAACGGGAATTTTGCAATTTTAATGCAAAATTGTTAGTCATTTGTGTAAATAGTTTCAAAAATTGGTCATTTTGTTAAATTTATGTCTTTATCTATATATCTATAACAAAGCAAGTAATTTTCCTTGAAGCTTATGTATTTGAAATTTTAAAATTTTCACTTTCCAATCTAATATAATTATTAAATAAATTTTAATGTGTATTAAAATGTAATATTTTTTCATGTTAATATCATATCAATGGTAGACATAAGACATTTTGAATTATCATTATAACACACTTCTTTCTTTTAATTCAGTCTCAAATATGAATCGGAAACAAAACATAAGGAGATTGATGAATACTTGTAGCTTTCTGTTTTGCTAAGTTCTGGTCCACAATTTGAGGTTCAGTTTGTCCATTCATTCATGTAGATGTGTTTGGTATGAATAAACTATTGAAAAAAAAATGAAAAAAAATCCCAGTATTATTTATGTGATTTTTAATGATATAGTTTTATAACTTTCTATAAATTATTTTATTTTTTTAATAAAGATAATACCAAAATAATATCACCCATTTCCAAAAAAAAATCTGCAATTAATCGATTGCCAATTGGCAATTGCTATATTGTTTTCTAGAATGGTCATAGCCACAAATAGCCTATAAAGAAAACTTGGTAGAAAAATAATATATTTCTCAATATATTATTTTATTCCGAAATATGTGAATGTACTTTGCAACGTTTATTGCAATATAAGACTGTATTTCGCAATATATTATTTTTAAATAGTTAAAAAAAAATTAAAGATTTTTCTTGGTTAACGAGAATTTTGCAATTCTAATGCAAAATTGGTAGTCATTTGTGTAAATAGTCACACAATTGGTCATTTGTTAAATTTATATTATATATGTATATGATAAAGCAAGTGTTTTTTCTTGAACCTTTATGTATTTGAAATTTTTAATCTTTCATTTTCCAATCTAATATAATTATTATATAAATTTAAATATCTATTAAAATGTGATTTTTTTCATATTAAATATCATAATAATGGTAGATATTAGACATTTTGAATTATCAGTATAAAACACTTCTATCTTTTAATTTAAATATGATGTTAAATTCAGAATTTAAATCAAAATAACAAAATAAATTAAAAAATATTTAGATCCTATTTTCTAAGTCGTTAAAAAGATTTAAATATTTATACCTATTTCTATATCATTATTATCTTAAATCTTATAATATAGGTCATCCAAATGAATATTGGATAAGATATATCTTCCTTCTTGTTCTTGCATCATATTTATTTAAAACCTCTTTAACCCTTAGTATTTTAATTTTATCTTATAATAATAGCATTTACTAATTAATATTCACTCATTTATAATTTTTGTACCTATATAAGTAGGATTTTCTCACCAAAAAAAAAAATAAAAAAAAAAAATTCTTAATTGTTTTTTGAAGAAAAAAACATTCCCTTACTTAAAGACTCATTTTTGCAAACAAACATTTTCTTCTATTTCCTAATGGAACCATAACTCTCCATATCAACACTAACGCGTATATGAAATGGTTTTCTTTATAATGACATCAAATGAGGTTTTATTTTTTATTTTTTTTAATTATTTTTTATTAATTATTTTTTATTTTATTTTGAAGAAGTTATGTCCAAAGTTCTAGCAAGTAGTTAAAATTGAAGTGTAGGGATGATTTCAATGTTTATTTACAAAACATGAAACAATTTTGTGTATTTTTTTTGTTTAGGCTTCAAAATAAATAGCAGTTTTTTTATTGATTTGTTTAGTAAAGAATTCTACTTTTATTTTTCATATTACCGCAATGATTTTAAAAATAAAAATGATCTTTCAAAGTTACAATTGTTGAATACGACGGTTTGTGTTGCCATATGCTTTTTATATAAATATTTGTCTAAATAATCGATTTTAAAATATTTCATCTATTGATAATAAATAGAGACATAGACAGGCGTTTGTGGTTGCTCTAAGTGGAAATCGGTTATATGGTATTTGCATATGCATCAAGGTGTTGAGATTTGTTTTCAAAATTAACAATGCATGGAAAGATTAATTGTAAGGTGATGTGGGGTAAGGTTACCTAACACTCGGTGGAATTAGATTTGGGTTTGGAAATTAGATGGTGGTAAGGTGAATTAAAAGTAATGGAGAATGTCGATGGAGTCAATATTTTCATATCTCTTCTTCCAATTCTTCATTTCCAAATTTCTTCTTTATGACTTTACAGAAAGCATAAATAGGATGTGTGGTTGTGTGTAGGTTAAAATTCAATTTGTTATTATTGTAATTATGTAATTTTATTCTTGTACAACGCACACAGGTTCACCTACTTGCTTATATACCTCTTAGGTCATTTTTGTAATTTCTTCTAGATCTCAAAAATATTATAACTTATTTGGGGTTGAGTGAGCTTTTACTATTTTCAAGTTTTTATTTTTGTAAATAAAATTTGATTACTTATACTTTAAATATTGTATGGAATCTAGTTATATGATTATATATTGTATCTACATAAAGAAAATTTGTTTCATTAATCCACACTAACCAAACATGATCATTCCATTTTGTCTCCCTTTCTTATTTCATCACCCATTCATTTCATTCCTTCGTTATTCTATTCTTTCTTGTCTTTAACTAGGAGGAGTGACATCCATGGATGGATTCCTTAAAAAATTCTTTCCATCTGTCTATGAAAAGAAGTCGCATTCCCATGAAAGCAACTATTGTAAGTTCAATGATCAAGGCCTTGCAGCCTTCACATCATCACTATACTTGGCTGGCCTGGTTGCAACACTATTTGCATCTCCTGTCACGCGTAATTATGGCCGTCGGATCAGCATCATTTGTGGCGGAATCAGTTTTCTGGTGGGTGCAATACTCAATGCCGCCTCGGTCAACTTTGGAATGCTTCTTTCCGGTCGAATCATGCTTGGGGTTGGAATCGGCTTCGGTAATCAGGTACTTTGCTCGCCCCATCAACATATTTTTTGTTGTCAACACTCAACACTGTATTTGTTACACAGGACATGATTATCAAATAGGAAAATAAAAGGGATAGAGTCATATGGTAAATCTTGAATTTGATTCGGGAAAATTGTTGAAAATAGCTACGGAAAATTTCCCTTGTTATGAATATAGGCAATGTACTAGCATGCTTTATTTTTTCCCCTTAATAACAACATACTTATTTTTCTTTACGTATAACATCAAGGTATTTACAATTCCTTACTCATAATAACATGGTTGTTGCTTTCTTTTTACCGATAATTATAATATGTAAAATGAAATTTGTAAGCATTTTATACGTTCCAAGCTATATGTTGCTACAATCGGTAGAAAAAATATAAGTACATTGGATATTATTGGTAAAAAGTAAAGTACATTGCTTGTATTTGTAACAAACATAAAGTACATTGATATTTTTTGCAAACTATCCATTTAATTATCATATTACAACTAGTGACATGGAGAGTATATAAAAGGAAAAATAAAACAAGAAATGCACAATATGCATATGTCATACATTCTTTTCTTGATCGACTCTTGTTTAGTTCTTGTTTTCCATCCTAAAACTCTTCTAATATGCAATATAACATATTCTCATAGTATAGGTTCCTTTTTTGACCAAATATCTTCTCAATCAAACAATTTAGGGTTTATATTATCTTTTTGGACCTTGTCATTAGTCCAAACATCTTATGAATATGATCTCTTTAACATGAATTTGGGTTTTCAATTATTTGATTCTTTCGCTCTATTACATCAATCCGATTCCAATGTATGCCAAACATAATACAATATCTTCAATCTCGTTTCTTCTTGAAGGCAATACCACTCTATTTATCAGAAATGGCACCAACCCATTTAAGAGGAGGCTTAAACATGATGTTCCAATTAGCAACAACTCTCGGAATCTTCTCAGCAAACATGATAAACTACGGAACAAGTAAGCTCGATCAATGGGGATGGCGGCTCTCTCTCGGCCTAGCGGCAGCCCCGGCGCTCCTAATGACAATCGGCGGCGTTCTTCTCCCGGAGACACCCAACAGCTTAATCGAACAAGGATCAAAAGAAAAAGGGAGAAAAGTTTTAGAACGAATTCGAGGTACACAAAATGTGGACGCTGAGTTTGAAGACATGGTTGACGCGAGCGAGTTGGCTAACTCGGTGAAACATCCTTTTAGGAATATCTTGAAGAAGAGGAATCGACCTCAATTGGTTATGGCGATTTGTATGCCGATGTTTCAGATCCTTACTGGGATAAATTCGATCTTGTTTTATGCTCCGGTGTTGTTTCAGAGTATGGGTTTTAAAGGTAATGCTTCTCTTTATTCTTCTGCGTTGACTGGAGCTGTTCTTGCTCTTTCTACTTTGGTATCTATTGCGACTGTTGATAGATTGGGTCGAAGAGTTTTGCTCATTGGTGGAGGCATACAAAATGATCGTTTGTCAGGTAACTTTTTTTTTCGGCTAAATGCAAAAAAATAACAATTAATTGTTTGTTATATTATCTTATTTTCATTATTTTTCCTATTATAACGATACATTTGAAATCTATATTGTTATAGCAATGTCATTTACTCATTCGTATATAAAACAATTATCACTGCTATAATTGGATAGATTTTCAAAAAATAGATTTTTCAAAAGATAATCTCATGAGAATAAGAAAAAATTGAAATTGAAAGTGTGATGCTATAATTGTGTAGATTTTTCAGAGTATAGAATTTAACAAATATCTTAGAAAATGTGCACTATTGAAAAAATGAAAGAAAATTTGGAAAAAGTTAGAAAGCCTCATTTGTCCATTTTGACCATTTTTCGGGTAAGTTCTAGTAATTTTAAAATCTAAACCAAAGGACGGATCTAATTTTTGTTTTTGCCTTTTTATCCGGTTTACAGTTTACAAGTTGCCATAGGTAAACAAATTTAGGTCTTTTCCGAACAAGTGGTTAAAATATTGGGTCTTTTATGCAAATAAGCATAAAATGTTATTTGCATAAAAGATACAATTGTTTAATCACTTCTTCAGAAAAGAAGTTGAAAACGATTTATATTTTCTTCAATCTTGTGTTATGAAACAGGTCATTGTAGGCATAATATTAGGGCTTAAATTTGGCAACAATCAACAACTCTCGGAGGGTTATTCAATCTTGGTGGTGATTGTAATTTGTCTGTTTGTGGCGGCCTTCGGGTGGTCATGGGGCCCACTTGGTTGGACAGTGCCAAGTGAAATATTCCCATTAGAAACGCGGTCAGCCGGTCAAAGCATTACGGTTGCGGTCAACCTCTTCTTCACTTTCATCATAGCACAATCTTTCCTCTCACTCCTTTGTGGTTTAAAATTTGGACTATTTTTGTTTTTTGCTGGATGGATTACTATAATGACAATTTTTGTATATATTTTTCTACCTGAAACGAAAGGAGTTCCTATTGAAGAGATGATGTTGTTATGGCAAAGACATTGGTTTTGGAAGAAGATAATATCAGAAGATTTGAGGGAAGATGAGAGTTTTGAAAGGCAAAAGAATTCATTAGTGTTGCCTCCACAAGCTCCTTGATAGTTAACGTTTATTATGTAATAGTTTGATGCAACTCAATGTACAGAAAAGGCACAACATACTTTTATCATTTTATTGAGGGGTAAATGCAAGAAGTAGCAATATACTATCACCGATTTATTTATTATAGCATTATACTTTTATTTTTTATTACAACATTATACTTTAAAAATCTAACTATAGCAAGGTCGTCTAAATACAAAACAATATTCACTGCGAAAATTGGGTTAGATTTTTCCAAATATAGTTTTTTAAAAAGAAAATATTGGAAGTACAATATGCCTTGATACGAAAAAAAAAAATGAAGGAAAATTGGTATAGTAGTAAAAAATGAAAATAAATGCTATAATACTCAAATAAATGAAAGTATATTGCTATTTCTTGCATTTTGACTTTTTATCTATTTAATTTCTTAACTTTTTTTTTCCTCCATGAATATTTCATTACATTTTTAACCAATTAAAAAAAATTAGTTTACCGGTTTTCATTAGTATTGCCTCAACAAGCTCCTTGATGGTTGATGATTATTATGTAATAGTCTGATATAACCCAATGTATAGAAAAGATGTAACATGCTTATATCATTTTACTGAGGGGTAAATGCAAGAAGCAGCAACGTACTTTCACCTATTTGTTTATTATAATATTATACTTTCATTTCTTTTTACTACAACATTATACTTTAAAAAAATCCATCTAACCATTGCAATGTCTTCCAAATACAAACAATATTCGCTGCAATAATTGGGTTAATATATTCAAATTATAAATTCCTAAATATGAGATACTGGAAGTACAATGCATTATGCATTGATAAGAAAAAATGAAGGTACATTGTTATAATAGTAAAAATGGAAAAAGGATGTTATAAAACTCAAATAAATAAAAGTATATTGTTATTTCTTGCTTTTAGCTTTTTTTATCTATTTAATTTCTTAACATTTTTCTGACATTATATTATGTCATTACTTTTTTAACCGGTTCACAAAATATGGTTAGCCGATATATGATAGAACACGTAAATGCATAACCTATTTTCATCATTTTTTCGATTTAATAATTAAACTATTTTTCATCGATTTAACTATCTAAATATTATTTCTTATCTGTTGAACCATTTATCTATAATAGTAATCATAAGAGATAGAGTAAATTACATGTTTTTCCTGGTGGTTTGTGAAATGAAACAAGTTTAGTCAACAAAATTCAATTCTTGCATATTTCGGCCCTAATTGAAACATTTGTAACACTTTTTGTCCCTTGCCCTAACGCATGCCAACGCATGCCAGCCTCCCCTCATTAAGCCCCTTAAGGCAATATGCCTTGCATATGAGCGTATTTTCCACTCCTCCATCTCAAATCATGTCACTAGAGAAGGAAGCCGGTGTGCATTTTTTTCTCTTATTCACCTATCATTCTTATATAGGAGTTTTGACTTTTTGACGATCAAAGTCTTAAAATAGCCACTAAAAATATGATAACGTTAAATTAGACCTTGAAGTCTGAGTTATGACTCGTTTTGCTCCTTACAACATCCTGTAGCAGATTACCTGTTTCCCACGTGACATCCTAAATTAAACCCCAACTTTGATTTTAATTTGATTTTTTTTTAAACTAACTTTTTTTAAGTTTCCATTTATTGATTTTTTTTAGTCAAAACCAAACATCGTTTAAGTTTTTCGTATTCTTTATTTTTTCATTTTTTTTGTTTTATTTTTCAAAAATTATAAAAGTGTATGAATATAGTATAGTATCTTACAATTTTGGCCTTAAAGGGTTTTTTTTGTATAATTTTTATTATGGTTTTCCAAAAATTAAAGTATATGAATATATTAGAGTATATTATAATTTTGGCATTTGAGTTTTTTTATAGTGTTTGTTATTTATGGTTTTTATAATGTTTTTTTTATTTTGATTCAACTAAATGAAAATATCAATACTTAAAAAAGAACGAACAAACATAAAGAAAAAAAAGTAGGTTTCAAGTTTTTTTATTTTTATTTTCTTGATAAAAAAACACAAATAACTAAAATAACTCTTTGATTAATTGGAAAATAACTCAAAACCAATATTTGATACAATCTGTTTCTATGATCCTATACTCGATCTAGACATGTATTTATAGGTTCTAATTACCAACATGAATTAGAATACAATTAGGAAACTATAACCAACTTGCCATAATCCCAAGTTTACTTGGTCTCCAAGTTCTACTCGACTTAGGATTCCAACATATTTTTTCTATATTTATTTTATTATTTTATTTTTTTTATCTATTCATGTTGACATTATGTTTACACCGAAAATATTAAATTATGTAATCATTTATATGTAAATTTGTTTATTACTTATTTGAGCCCTCAATATATTTATATTTGTAATTTCGTTCATCTTGTTTTCTTTATATTTTTTTATTATTTTGAAGTTATAATTTTTTTCATTTACTTGAATCAAAATAAAAAAAAATACATTAGAAAAACCATAAATAATCAAAATTATTAAAAAGACAGAAAACAAAAATAAAACTCAAAGGCCAAAATTGTAATATACTCTAATATATTCATACATTTTATATTTTTTGAAAAATCTCAAAAAATTATAAAGTTGATGAAAAATAAATAAGAAAAAACAAAAAAATAAATAAATAAGAAAAAACTCAAAATCGATTTAAGTTTTGATTAAAAAAAAACTTGTTTTAGTTAATAAAAAAAATCAATGTTTGGGATCTAATTTAGCGTTATCAAAAGTTTACGGTCTAATTTATGATGTCACATAGGAAGAGTAACTCGCTACAGGAGGTTGTAAGGGGAAAAAGAGTCAAAACTCAAACTTAAGGGTCTAATTTAGCGTGATCAAATCTTCAGTGGCTAAATCGAGTCAATTTTGAGACTTCGATGGTCAAAAAAGTCAAAAATCCTATTATATATTGCCTCTCATGATAAACGACAACATTTTGTAGATGTGGTTGATTTGATGAGATCGCTCCTCTCGGACCACAAACAATTCTCGTCGCAAATTCTATTATTGCTCTTCATGTGTAATGGTAAAGCTTTTAAAATTTGCTTTGTTGTTTAACATAACGCCCAACTTTTGGGGGTAATATATTTTGCATTTAATTAAATAAAATATTACTTAAAATAGAAACAAAATATGTAGGCATTAATGTAGGTGTCTTATAAATTTGTGGATGTTATTAAATTTGAGGTTAAGGTAAGTAACTTTGACTTACATGTAATAACTTATGTTGGACCTTATTTGAATAACTAATTAAGTTTGGAGTCAATTAAAAGTTATAAAACTTGATTTGTTAAGAAAATATCTAGTAAGGTGCATTTTGCAAAAAAAAAAAAAAAAAAAAAAAGGTAAAACTCAGGGACTATTCTGATGGGTATTATGCAAAACATATAAAATCATATGTGTACATGCAATCCTAGTTCTCGATCTATGTTTTCTCTAATTGAACATACAACTTTGAACAACAAATAAGAAACCCTAGGATACCTAACATATTTTCGAAATTATATTAATTAGGGTTAGAAGAAACATACCTTGATTTATTGTAGAAAATAAGAAAGAAACATTCTTGTTAATCTCTTGGAAGCAAGTAATACAAGTGTCGCACCTCTAATGGTTCACACTCAAACCCTAGCAACCAAGGAGCTTAAATAAAGAGAGGATAGAGGTGAGAAATTTCAGAATTCCTCTTAGGAATGAAGGCATGGACGAAATTCAACCCCAAAAGGGGTTTATATAGGTGATAGGAAAGTGTTGGATAAGGCATGTATCTCTAAGATAACCTTAATCCTTTTTCTTCCTCCCTAAGGCATCCAAGGCACCTTTAAAGCCCAAGGAAACCCTAGAAGGCTTCTAGATTTCGTCTCATCCTTATGGGAGGTTCTAGAATTCCTCATTGCTCAACTATTGAACATTATCACCTTTAGTCCTCCTATTTTTAATTAATCCAATTAATTTCTGATTAATTATTAATTAAATAATACTACTTCCAATTAATATCTTATCTCATAATATATTAACAAATCATTTATTTTGATTTCTAATTAATTTAGCAACCATATAATAATTTAATAAATCAATCTCTCTCTCAAAAGATATCATATTCAATTGCTAGGTTTGAGGGCAACCCAAAAGGATTGTGTTACTATCAATTTAAGTTTATACCAATTATAGTTATGGGCTTAGCCACCTAATCGAACATACTCTTGTATAAGTGTCATAACTGTAGAATACTTGAATCCTAATGTAACACTCGAGTTTTGGTAAGTTTCCTTTTACCTCCTTTCATGTAAATTATTTTCATATTTGGTCGTTGGTTAGTACGCGGGGCGTACTCTAGGAGTACGCTTAGCATACTAACAATAAGTTAATCGCAGGCATCACCCATGTACGTTGGGCGTACGTGGGAGTAGACAGGGCGTACGTATGGATTAAGCAAACCCTAATTTTTAGGGTTTGCACCCTATTTAAGCACAATTATACCACCTCCTGGACATTTTAGACCAGCCTCCATCCCCCTTGACCCAGAAAACGAAACCCTAAGTGTGTTAGTGAGTTTTTAAGCTTGATAAAGAGATTTTTGGTGTCTTAAGGTGACGAAGAAGAAGAGAAAACCTTGTATAAGTAGATTGAGCTTGTGGATCCAGGATCACCTTTTCATTTGCAAGCTTTTTGAGGTAAAAAGCTCACACTTTGCTAATAATTTATGACAGACTTCTATATAGTATTTCTTGGGTATTTTTGAGCCTTTTATGTTAAAGGTGGTATTTTGATCTACTCCAGAAGTAATGGATGCTAGATCTTAGCTCCATTCAGTCCCCATGATCATAAAAATGCAAAATTTATGGATGTTTTTGGTTCACACAAGTGTTAAGACCTTTATTAAGTTCTTTTTGAGCCTTGTGTCCCAATAAGCCATGCATTAGTGTAAAGTTGCCAACTTTACGTGATAAGTGGCCTTATTGGAATCAGATCTGAGAGTTTGACACTTTGTCTTAGCCGATTAAGTACTTAATGTGAGGTTTTGGTAGTCTGGGGAGTACGCTGGGCGTACCCAGCTGGTATGTCGCGCGTACTGACCCCGGAAGGAGTACGCTTAGCGT